AAAAAAATAGTTCCAATACTTTAAATTGATGGACAAGAAATGAACTGACATTAGGAATGTTTTCTGTAACATTAAGATCTACAGCCAACACATATGCATCCCTTAAATGTTAAACTGTGTTGAACAGCGCTACGATTACAAGACACAGCATGCAACCGTTATATCTTAGACACCTACAGAAGCAATTTCACCGGGGACAATACTGTGTATTTGGTTTCCTTAGCTGTCAGCTATCCAAATCACATTTGCATTTCAACAAAAACTAATGTTTTCTTTGTCATCACAATCAATTAAGACAAAATTCTCAGAATAAGGTTTGTTTGTAATCATATATTTTCTCATCTCTAGCCCGCTATGTACTTCACATTTTTTAACAGAAAAGTAAGAATTCTTAAAGAAAATTATATTGTTAAGCAACTTACAAAATGTTTTCTTTAAAAAAAAAATTTAAAAAATCAAAATTAAAAAGGTTTGGTATTTGGCACCACAAAAGAGAACAAAAGAAAAATACTGGCCATTCAGGCAGAGTGCTCTTCTGTTTGTTTGTTTTTTTTGTTTTTTTGGGGGGGTAAGGTGGAGGGAAGGTGGGAGGGTGTTCCCCGCCTCCATTCCACAGGAACAAAGAGGTTATCATGAAAAAAAATCCTAATATTTAGATCCCAAAAGATAATTTTACTAATTTTAATATCAAATTTAAGGGCTGCATTACCTAATAATACATTTGTGGGAAATTGAGGTCTCCTTATGATCTCTGACCAATAAGGATGGATAAGATTTCAGAATCAAAGTCTCATTGTGACACCGAATGTTGCTCCCAATTTCCAAATTCACTACTTCTACTCACCCCAGATCTCCCTTATCAGTCTGCTTGCAGCAAAATGAAGTTTACTAAATTGCTCCTCTTTCCTCTAAGCCAGGGCGGGCAAACCTGGCTTGTGGGCCAATTCTGGCCCACAGCAGACTCCATTTCGCAGCACCTGCCCGCATCACTCCAGTCAGTCTCCATGGAGATCCCAGAAGCAGCACAGCCGTGACAGCATGTGGCCAGCATCTCTATGGAAATCAGCCTGAGCAGTGCTGGCAGGGCATGTGGCTCCGCCACGGACAGGCTGGGATCTAGCTGCAATGACAGCATAGGCCAGAGCCAGAGCCAAGCCACGATCTGCTGCCCCAGGAGCGTGCAGGCTGATCATGGCTCTGCCCTGGCTAAAGCCCATGCTGCCACCACTTCAAAATCCAGGCCCCAGCCCAGAGATCAGCTGCTCAGGCAGGCCTCCGTGAAGACCCTGGCCCCATGCTGTCATGGCCCTGCCACTCCTGGGGTCTCCATGGAGACCTGCTGTAGCGATGCGGGCAAGGGCTGCTGGGCAATGGAGTCCATCCGGATTTACCATTTTACCCATCCCTGCTCTAAGCCCTATACTGAGCAGATCAAATTAACATAGCATTAGAAAGAAACATTAATAGGACAAAATGAGTAATACCAAAAAAGCAAAAACAAATAAGAGAATGAAAACCAAACACTAGGTTGATGAGAACAATTATAAAAGTTCATTAACCTCTTGAATGTTCTGTGAATCTTCAATATACATGAACAAATAATCTTCCTGAGAGATCCTATTGATATATTGTTACATCATTGCTGAAGAATCCACAATATAATACTCATCACATCTCTCAAAAAACCCAGAACCACAATGTAGTAAGAAAAAATTAGATCATGACCTGATGGCAACAATACATTTAAAAGATCTCTGAAAAGTAAATTAAGAGTGCAGATTCTATCCTTCTCTCCATCTGAAGTAGAAATTAAGTCACAGTTCACTACTTTAAGGCCAGCAATTTTGTGAGGTGATAGAGAAATGATCTTTTTTTCACAATTTCTTTCTGCATATGGCTAGCAATTACTCCCTTTCACCTATTCCAAAGCACTTTTCACAATGGTATCTCCAAACAGAAAGCCTTTTGTTTTGTACAATAGTCTTGGGAGAACATAAGACAATCTTGCACATGACAGCCTGATCATGTTTTCCAATCTATCCTGCAATTGCAGTTCCAAGAAAAAAACTAAGTGGAAGACCAAGTTGACTAAATCCATGACTCAGTCTTCTGGATTTTTATGGATGATATAGAACAGCCTTGAAATTCTGTGGTAAGAATAAGTCTGTTTGAGCTTCACCTCAATGTTTGAAATAGGTCATGAGAATAAAAAAAGTTGGCAAATATTTTCTTTGAGGGTAAGGCACTGAAAGAGATGAACAGATCTACGCTTTCCGATTCATAAAAACTAAACAAACAGAGCTACACATAAAAAAAAGGAGGAAGAGAGAGAGGAAACAGCAGAGGAGGAGGAGACAGAGAAGGAAGAAGAGGAGAAGGCATCCACAGAATATATTTGGATAGAAACATTATTTCTTTCCTTAACGTCAGAACTACGTTATTCATAGTTTCAGTCACATGACAGATATAGTCCTATATAAAAGTTAGTTACCAGTAACTGGAAATGTAGAAATGTTGTTCACATGCATTCTAACGTGTGGATATCCTCAGCCCAAGTCTTCAGCCTGAGGTCTACTTACCTCAGCATTATCACATACTACAACTCCACTCCACTTTCAATCCCTCCTCCCCCACATACCAAGGGAATAGGGACAAAAAATACATTCCACTCTTCTGCTATCTCTCAACTGCAGTTTGATAAAAACCTGACTGCAAGGGTAAGGTGTGTTAAATGTGTTTGTGGACAACAGATCTCAAATAACTTGTATTATTGCAATTACATTACTTTTCTCCAGTATCCACTATAAATATAGATGGGTTTCTGAGCCCTTCATGGAAAAAGTAATAGAAATACTGCTCTGCCAAAAGCAAGAGCATTGCTTGAAGCCTCCATAATCAGACTGTGTGCTAGAAATGAGCCAAACTCTATTGTGCAAACTTCCATTATATTTACACCACACACAGCAGTAACAGGTGGCTTTGGTCCTAGTGGATTGTTCCCTAGCCACAAAACATTACAGTTTAATGCACTAGTAATGCCTTTTTAGGCCTTGACATAATCAATGCCACTAACTGAATGCAGGGCAAACATGTGGCAGCTTGGGTTGACCTCCTTAGATGCCCTACTTAGCAATAAGAAAGTTGAAAGAACATGTGTAACTAAGTACCTGGAAGATAGTAACTGTGAAGAGGTGACCAGCAGGAACCTGTGGCATAGCCATATATGAAAGCTTCGCAATCATATAGGAGAAAAAGTTTCAAAAACTTATAACTCTGGGGGCCAGCAGAGGGTAAGATAGAGGGCCTGCACCACTCATCAGGCCTGCAGCACCAAAAAGATTGAGTTCAACTGGCCTAAAATGATGCAAGGGTGCAGAGCACTGCAATGCTAGAGAGAAAGTAGTATGCTGAGAAGAGGCAGTTTCATGTAAGCAGTGCTACAAGGCAAAGGGGCTTGCGCCTAGCCACAATGAACCCAAGGACTTGTCCAAAGGAAACATACAAGCTGTCTCCAGTCGCGCATGGACATTTGGCTCCCCGGAAACAACTAGTGGCAGCGCACTTTTTACCGCCACCAGTTGTCCCCAAGGAACACCTGTGCCACACACTTTGATGTGCAGCAAGTTACACCAGGTGGAGTAGGAGGCTGGGGCCATCACTGGACTGGCCCCAGCAGCCTTACCTGAGGCCCTAGGAGCTTCCAGGGATGCAGCTGTGGTGATCCTGCCACGCGGAGCCTGGCCAAAAAGATCACAGCTCCACCCAGCCAGGCTCTGGCTTTGGGTGGCGCAGGCTGCCACCACATGCTCCGCTCCACTTTTCTTCTGGCAGGTTTTTCTGACTCCTGGATATCCAGGGTCAAAAAAACCACAAGCTGCTCCCTTGCAGCACAGAACGCTGAACATGTGGTATGTGGCACCATGGCTGCACTCATCTGGTTGCGGCCACGGAGTTCTCTCTTGCTCCTTCCTTGTTCTTACTTTAAATGAGCAACAAATACCTCATTTTGCAAGAATATGAAACTCTCCTCGACAGCAGATGCAGCTGGAGCAAGATTCTGATGTAGGAAACAAACTGTCACAAATAGGTGTGGCTCCTCAGGCCTGGCAACTTAAGGAAGACATCTCACCAGAAAAAAAAGGCTGAAGAGCATCTCAAAGAAAACAAAATGAAAAAGGGGGAGGCAATACACATGAAGCCTATAAAAAGGACTCAAGATGGCAGTTGCTCTTGACACAGGGCAAAAAGATCACTGATGGATCTGTCACAAGACTCCAAAGAGGGGAGAAGGTTGTAAAAGCAAACCTCTCTTTTAAGGAGAAAAAATTAACACAAAAGAAAGGGAAAAACACTGAAAATGGATAACCAAGAAAATTCAGGCAGCAATTTGCCAGGCGGTTGAGATGAATGGAAGAGGACAACAAATGTGCCATCCCCTCCCCTCCATTCCCAGGCTGAAGCATATCTTAGTGGCACATCAGGTATTGCTTAGATAAAGTCTTCAACTGAAAGCACAGGGACTGAAAACATGTCAGAATGTTTGTGTGGACAACTATCCAGGGTAAAAACAACTGCTTATTGTCTTTATGCTCTGAAAGCCTTTGATTAAACAAACTGATTGATCTATTTCAGGAAATAAGTATTGATGAAAAACCTCTGTAAACTTTCTCATCAACTGCTTGTCAAAAGTCAGAAAGAAAGAATATAATTTGAACTGCAAAATACTACAAATACAAAAGGGGGTAAAGTTAGCTACAAGCATCAAGCACCCAGAAACCCAAATTTCCTTTTATTGAATTGAGTGGAAAGACTGGGTTTAACCAAAAACATAAGTGGCTTACTCTTAACAACATTTTCAAAATTTGTTAAGTTTCATGTGCAAAGAAAAATAAATAGTGGCTTTGTATGGGTATGAATAACTCAAGTAACCAGAAATAACTCAAGTAACATAGAAATCAGAGAAAAATTGAGAGAAGGTTAGTAGCTCATTTCTTGATTACCTTTTCCACCTTCCCACCATTGATGTCACTGGGGAGGAATTTCTTGCCAATGGTTCTTAAATCTGTCTAAAATTAAAATAAAGAATAATAATTTAAATATAATTTTTCAAAACATGTTCTTTGTTACATACAGCAGCAAACACATAGGCCACATTCACACACTACATATGGTTTAAAGATAACTACTATACAACGGCTTAAGAAGATAAAGGTGCATTTTAAAAACCACTCTATATATGATGTCATAGTTTTGATGCATTTTCAAGATTTTTAAGATGTTTTAGCTGCACATTTTTTCAAGGATTATGTAACCTGAATAATTAATGAAAGCCATTAGTAGAAGTAATTTTGATGTTTAATATATTTAAACTTTTTTCCTTCTTTCTACCTTATTTTTTAAAAAGGCATTTTCAGTCTGTATACCTATAAAGTCACTCAAAATCTCTGGATAATTTCTGCAACTACAGCCAGATCATAAGAGTTTATACCATATTTAAGTTAAGGAGTTTAATGTGGGTTATTTTTATGACAGTTTATTTTTTAATTGTGCCAAACAGCCATACAATATTGATTTACTCAGTAGAAATGCAACAAGGTTATGATCACAATTTAGATAATATAAAAAGGATTTGTGAGATCAAGGGATCAATTATTTCACAGTAACATGAGAGCACAAATACAATTTAGATAAACATTTCAGTTATTTTGGTCTTGAATAAAAACATGGTACTGCCTATCTAAAATATGGAGCATGCACAAATAATAGTACAATAATCTCTGATTTAGATACAAACTTCATGTTTGACCCCTCAATTATATATATTAGAAAGAAAATAACTAAAAGTGTCAATCTAGAATTGACATCTTATACTTCACTGTTTGAACTAGGCCTGTGGCTTTAAAATAAAGATAGTATATGCATTAAAGTCAACTTACTGTTTATTAAAGTCTACCTGAAGACTTCACAACCTGTCTTGCAGTTGTTCACGTAAGCCATAATTCATCTACAGATGCATAACTTATATACTACCTTGCTGTGATATCAGTGGGATATCGTCCTTTGATACTTCTATAGACTACTGTTCTAAGGGACTGAACAGTACTGCATTTTAGCAGACATCATAAATTACAACAAAAATTCTCTTCATTTTTGAACAGTGTACAGACTGAATACTGAAATCACTATTTCATAGAATTTTATGTGGATTCTATGAAACAGCACATGCTCCTCACTGCACTCTGAATAGCCATAAACTGGGACAGTCCAATCAAGCCAAGCAAAAATAGTTCTATAGGACATACATAAGAAAGCATATTTGCTTTCAAACTTGAATACACTCCAAGGAGCTAACCTGTCAACTTAATCCAAAGTGTTGAATCATACTAAAAAAAAAAAAAACAACCCACAAACCACACATATTTTTATATTTCCCTTAACATTTCTTACACAGAGAAGTATTAGCTACAATTGCTACAGCAATGTTAGGTAATCCCAACAGCAATCAGAGGAAGAGCTGATCTATATCACCTTTTTCGGAAATGTTGTACAAAGAAAAAGTCTGAAAACACATTTATAGTGATATTTCTCCGTTATAAAAAAGGCTACTTTTTAATGAATACCTAAAGAAACTAAAAAAAATTTGAAACATTATACGTATGAATTGTTCAATTAGGGTGAAAATTCTCAAAACTACAAACAAAGAAACTCAAACAGAGGAGCAAGACAGGTAAATGAAAGATCTGAATTTTAATCTCAACTCTGCCAAACACCAAACAATGCATTCTTTCCTTCGAATTACATGGTTTATCACAGCTTGACTAGGTGTCAACCTATATTTCCATGTACACAAAATTCTGTGCGTCTTGAGGATGGACACAGGATGGCGGCATGTTCAAGATGCTCATCTAAAAAGACAATTTCATCTAGACTGTAAATATTAATTTAATGTGTCTTATGTATGAGGATGTAATACATCTCAGCTGCAGCAAGGCTTTAGCACAGTATCCAATGACATTGTCTAAGCTAAAAACAGTTTAAATGAAACACTGTATGGGCATATCTGTTTGGATAATCATGCTCAAAGAACAGTTAGCAGCAGCTTACTATGAGGAGATGTTAAATGGAGTTCACTATAGGTCTGCTTATGTCTGGTAATGTTCATTATTTTCTTTAGTAATTTGAAAGATAGACTTGAGTGCACACTTAGTAAATTTGCAGATAAACACCAAGCTTGGGTGGGTTAGTAAACACGTTATAGGATAGGACTGGGATTCAAAATGACTAGGATAAACTGGAAAAGTGGTCCAAAATAAACAGACCAAAATGCAATAAAGGCATGTGCAAAGGCACAAATAAAATGAACTATTGTATGCTTGGCTGAGCTTCAGTACCTCAGAAAAGGACCTGGTAGTTGCAAGGAATTGCCAACTGAATGTGGAATCAACAGTGTATCAACAGGAGTGTTGTGCTTAAGCCATGGGGAGTGAGGCTTCTGTTCAGCACTAGTGAGGCCAATTTTGGTTATCACACACAGACAGGTATGAAAAAAAAATGGAGAGATCAGAGAGTAGCAAAAATGACAAAAAGTGTTGAACATGACAAATAAGGAGAGGTTGGAAAACTGAGATTACTTGAGCTAGAGAAGAATGAACTAGGAGGGAAATCAGTAATAGTCTTAAAATATAAGAAAGGTTGTTATAAGAAAGCTGGTGATGGATTTTCTATGGCCACTGGAAACAGGACAAGTGGCAATAGACACGAAGGGACATTATGTTAGATTAAAAAGAAATGTTTAGTTACAAGGGAGGTTAAGCACAGTAGTACAACCTAGGAAGCTTGTATAATTTCCATGTTTGCTAATTTTATCATAGGTTAAACCAGTTGTCCAACTGGTAGCCCATTGACTGTATATGGTCCATGAGGAGTTAGGTTGCGAACTCTGGTCTCCTGCTCAGCCACTGCTTCCCCCATCACTCCAACTGCAACAGCAGCTAAAGTCTCTGGGCTTCCCCTCCCTCCTCCACCTTTTGCTGCCTGACCCCACCCCAGAGAGATGGGCAGTACTGCATGGCATGGCCTGGAAAGCTGAGGGTGAGCCTGGAGCTATGAGCACAGTGCAGCACAGGCATGGTGCTGCTGGGGGGGGAAGGAGGGGCTGGAGTGCCCACACAGGAATGTGCAGTGCAGTAGCAGGATGGGGGGGAATGCAGCAGTGGGGGATGGGGGTTAGGGGAGGCATGCCCACAACGTACAGTCCCGGGGGCCTGTGACTTGCCCTAGTGCATCCTGCTAGGTCCTGAGTAGTCATCTTGTCTCCGGCTGCTTAGCTCTGAGTTAAACATTTTTTTTTTTTTTTTTTTTTTAATACTGTTGGCCCAGTTCTTGGCACCACACTTCAAAAAAGACATGGAGAATCTTGAAAGGGTCCAGAGAAGGCCCACAAAATAGGTTAAGGGCCTGGAGGACAAATCTTACGAGGAAAGACTAAGGGATCTGGGATTGTTCAGCCTGGGGAAGAGAAGGCTGATGGGGGACTTAGTGGCCATCTATATGCATGTAAGGGGCGAATATCAAGAGCTGGGATAAAAACTGTTCACTAGGGCGCCCCAGGGGAGGACAAGGAGCAATGGCCATAAACTGTTACAGGATGGTTTCAGGTTGGATGTAAGGAAGAACTTCTTTACAGTAAGGGTGACCAGAATCTGAAATAGACTTCCCAAGGAGACGGTGAAGTCCCCAACCTTGGAAGTCTTCAAGAGGAGACTGGACAGACACCTTGCTGGGATCATTTGATCTCAGCAGTATGCCTGCCCAAAGCAGGGGAGTGGGACTATCTTTCAAGGTCCCTTCCAGCCCTTCATTCTATGATCCTGCTTTAAACTGAAGATTGGACTAAATGATTTCTTGAAGTCCTTTCAAGTCCTATTTTTCTATTCACTTGTAAAACTTGGAAATATGGAGGACTCAAATATTCCAATCAAAACAAAAAAACTGGAAGAAGGGAGAGTGTCCTCTGTCATTACTATATTAAAGTACCAAAAAATATAAATACAAAAGTTGATTAACTTTTAGAAAGGCTACACTCTTCTTTCCATGGCTGGAAGACATGTAATCTTCAAAAAGCCATTTGTAACAAAGGCAAAAAAACCAATATTGTACAATATGGTTTTCGAGGAGGCAAATTTATTCTTTTGAATTTTGAAAATCGTTTCTAAGACCTTCATGCACAATTTTCTCACATCTCTTGGTAAAGATGATGAATATGAGACTTTGTATATACATAGTTTACATGTCTGTATCTACTTGTTACAGAAACATGCAACTACCAAGTCAAATTTGAGATTAAAGAAATCTAAACATAAAGAGAGGTCACAGCATTTTAGTTTTAAGGGATGTCATATCTGAACTACTTACTAGTGCAATACCTTAGCATAACTGTTAATGTTTTCATATTCATTTTCTTAATACTATCTAAGAAATAATTTTTCCCCATTGCAATACATATTTATATTCTTTACCATGACATTTTTTTTTAAAGTAGCAATGTGTAGTACAGGTGACATCACTGAGCTTTAATTCCTATCAACCAAATTATAGCATAAAATAAAAATGAAAGACTTTGTGCATTATGTATAGTATGCAATGCAATACGTTTAGTTAAATTATGTCCATAAATAAGGTTAAAGACCAAGTAATCCAATACAAAATTGTTACCATGATACAGCAGAAAAGTCCATAACCATAACCTACATTAAGGGCAACCAGGATAATGTCACTTATATTGACTTTGTCAGAAGAATTTGTGCAAGCTTCAATTCCTTCATCTGAAAGATACCTGTTAAGACAAAAAGAAGTTATTTTAAGAGGTTATAATATACATTTCATACTAGGCTATTAGCTAAATGTTCTTTTAGATCCTTAAACCCTTTGAACCCTGCCACACGTTCAAATTAAAGCCGACTAGAAACCAGCTATAAAAGTTGTTACACATGTTCAAGCACCATCTTTATAGCTGGTTTGCTTGTTTTTATAACTGGATGGATATTTTTATAGCATGATAATTACTTTGTATGCGTGTCTAATCTACATTTATTGTGTGATTACCCAGTTAATTGCATAATATTTGTAAGGCATGGCAGGAATCTTTTTCAGGTTCATAGAATCACAGAAGTAGAGACGGAAGGGACCTTGTAGATCTTCAGGTTAAACAAAGGAAAAATAAATCACACACATTTTAGACCTCAGACTCCATAGGTTGGGAGTAATGGAAGACTTGGATGAGCAAACTACAATCATAATGTACCAAGATGAAAAATAAAGTAATTCAAAAGAAAGAATATTTATACAACACTAAATATGACTGCAGGTTCCCTCAATAGTTAGGAAACTGAATATTACCTTGGCCTATAATTAGGTCATAATTGTGACCCAAATCACAGTTGCACAGATTTCACATAGTCGGGTGATCTCTGTAAAATCCACAGAAAGGAAAAATAAAAATAAAAAGAACACCTACTAAAAATAAAATACTGGTTCCCCAATGGGAACCTAGGCCTAAAATTTAGACTTAGTAAAATTAAAATTACTCGTGAAAGTATTATTCTGCCTCCTTAGGCTAAAGGAGTAACTTGTAGCAATGGGGAAGTCCTATATTCTCTATGTGCAAAGTTGACTAAAATAGGAAGAAAAAATTGCTTACAAAAGCTCTCTCTCAACCTTAAACTATATCTATGCCAAAACTTTGCCAGCCTTAAAGTTTCTCAAATAATCCTGGGGGGAAAAACAATCTTTTTTAAAGGGGTGTACGTTGTAGCCGTGTTAGTCTAAGGACATGGGCAGACAAGGTTCATTGTGTGAATCTGAATCTTTTATTAGACCAACTTAAATAGTTGGGGAACATTTTTTTTTTTAACCAAGCTTTCAGGTTTAAAACCCCTTTGTCAGGCTGAGGAAGCCTCTGCAGTTGGTGTGTGCCCTTCCTGGATGGAATGAATAGTAAAGAAAACAGAGGCTGTCTTTTTGCATGTGTACAGCCCAGTCTTTGGCTTCTTTACTATTCATTCCATCCAGGAAGGGCACACACCAACTGCAGAGGCTTCCTCAGCCTGACAAAGGGTTTTTAAACCTGAAAGCTTGGTAAAAAAAAAAAAAAAAGTTCCCCAACTATTTAAGCTGGCCTAATAAAAGATTCAGATTCACCCAATGTTTTTTTAAATATTTTTAAACTACACTTCATTCCCTGACTAGCACCAAAAACAAGTTATTCATTCTAACAAGCTTTCAAAAAAAGTGAAACCCAATTGATCCTAGTTGCCTAAATTGGACCTAATTGCCTAAAATTTTACATTATAAACCGTGATTTTTTTTCTTTTTGTGCCTTTGAGTATCTGTCTCTAACATATTATTTGTCAGTTAATGCAGAATGGCAACTATTAATCAATTCTTAAATAACACTGAAAAACCAATGCATTTCATAATCAGAAATTGAGTACTCTTTCAAATACTGTGAAGGATTCACTTTAACATGACGTGAGATAACTAAGGTAGTGCTGAAGTGATGTTGCAGCCACGATGGCCAGGAAATACATGAGAAGCAAGAATTTTTGTGGGTCATATCTTTTCTTGGACCACCTGCATGGTCTATCCAAACCACTCAGTTGGTCCAATAAAACTTGGCCCAGTAAAGAATAATCCCACAGAAAATTATGCTGCTCACATTAGATAATTAAGTAAATACTTTGGAAAAAACATATATGCTAAAAATGCACCTAATAAAAAGAATTTAAAAAGTTATCCAAGAAACAAGTTGGTTTTCAAAATCTATGCCTTAATAACTACTTTCTATGCCAGAAAAAATTAAAGGGTGGCAGTGTGTGTAAACAATTCCTCCAAAAGATGTAAAGGTGAAAGGAAATGTTTCTCCATAATAGTCAAAAGGTTACAGTAACCACCATGCAAGATTTATGATCATACATAGAGGAATATAGGATTCTTATGTTGAATCTTCAGTACAACCATCCACAAAAACGCAGAATAACTATTTCTAAACGGATGCATCTTGTTAGCTCTAAGCAAGAGTTTCCCTCTAGGTTTACCGTGGTATTCTGGAGACCAGGAAGGTGTGCTTTGGAATGACAAGGCCAGCAAGCAGTCTAGAGTTGCACTCGAGAGTTGGAGCAAGACAGGCTTTCCTAAAAAGAACTCTATGGGCAGTATCAATGTTATCTGGGCAGGCAGTGGTGGGGGGAAGAAAAAAGAAAAAAAAAAAAAAAAATCAAGCCCAAAAGCAGTATCAAAACCGGGTCCGGCAGAATCATGTAGTTATTAAGTAGGGGACTGGGCTGTAGAAAATACACACTGTCACTATATCTTGCCTTGGCAAAACTGGGGCCAAGAACCACAACAAAAAACACCAAACTACTCCAACAAGCAAAACAACCTTTTGATTTATTGTCCCTAGACTTTTTGCCAATAGCTTTCTCACTCCAAGAGGAGAAGCCACCCAGGAAGGCAGTCCCTATTTGCTGGCCACCCGGGAGGGACCCGCTGCAGAGGTATGGCAGACGGTCAGCTCCAGAGCCAGGGCTACTCGTGCTACCTCAGTGTCAACTCCCCAGGTACAGCTGGGGAACAGGTATGAGGCCCTGGCAGCCGTGGAGGAGGAGGTAGGAGAGGATGCCTCCAAGGGAACCGATGCCACTCCAAGCACGGCACAGGCCAAGAGCTCCCGGAACACCAAGAGGAAGAGACGCCAGGTCCTCGTCATTGGCGATTCCATCCTAAGAGGAGCAGAGGGGACCATCTGTCGCTCTGATCCCATGACACATGAGGTTTGATGCCTGCCTGGAGCTCGGATTCAGGAAGTCATGGAGATGATCCCAGACCTCATGCGACCCTCTGATCATTACCCCATGGTCCTCATCCACATGGGAACAAATGATTTGGCCAGGGGCAACCCAAACCACATCATGAGAGACTACAAGGCTCTAGGGGCAAAGCTCAAGGAGACAGGGGCACAGGTGGTTTTTTCTTCTATCCTTCCAGTGAGCAGACACAGCTGGCGCCACGAAACATGCATCGGCGAGGTCAACCGATGGCTTCGGAGCTGGTGTTTACAGGTGGGCCGTAAGATCTTGGACCATGACCTGCATTTCCGCAGAGAGGAAATGCTTGGGCGGGACAAGCTTCATCTCTCCCCAAAAGGTAAGCGCGTTTTTTCTTCCAGACTGGCTGATCTCCTATGGCAAGCTTTAAACTAGGTTTGCCGGGGGATGGGGACGCAGAGGAACACAAGGACACTTCGCAGTCAAGTCAGGTGATGCACACAGGTAGTACCCCAGGTAAATGACAGGGGCCAGGGCAGACTTAAGAACAAAGTGGCAGCACGGGCACCTACAGGAGGCCTCAAATGCCTCTACACAAATGCTCAAATCATGGGGAATAAGCAGGAGGAACTCGCCCTCCTGCTAGCTAGCAAAAACCCAGACCTAGTGAGGCTCACGGAAACCGGGTGGGATTCTACTCACGACTGGGCAGTGGACATCGAGGAATACAGGCTGTACAGGTGCAACCGAGCAAGGAAAAGAGCAGGCGTGTAGCACTATACGTCAAAGAGCAATACACATCCTCGGTGATCAGGATGGGGTCATAGGAGAGCCCAAATGAGGTGCTATGGGTAAGAATACAAGGGAGGCGTGGGGAAAGGAACTTGATAGTAGGCATCTACTACAGACCACCTCACCAGGGGGATGAGCTGGACCTGGAATTCTCAGGTCAGCTCACAGAGGCTGTAAGGACAAGGGATGTGGTTTCATGGGTGACCTAAACTACCCAGACATCTACTGGGAGGAGCAGTCAGCCAGGTCCGACCGCTCACAAAGGTTTCTAGCTGGGATACAGGACCTCCACCTAACCCAGGAGGTGCATAGTCCCACCAGGGAAAATGCCTTGCTGGACTTGGTCCTTGCCACAGGCGACAACCTGGTGAGGGGTCTGCAGTACTCGACCACCCAGGTGACAGTGATCATCGCCTACTGGAATTTACTGTTCAGTGCAGAGTGGTGAAAGCAAGCAGCAAGGCAGAGGTCCTTGACTTCAGAAGGGCCAACTTCTGTAAGCTAAGGTTAGTAGCAGAGGCATTGGGGTCTCAGCGTTTCAATGAGATGGAAGTTCAAGATGGGTGGTTGTTCCTCAAGGAGACGATCCTCTGAGCTCAAGGGGAGTCAGTCCCAATGTGCACCAAAGGGGGCAAAAGTGTTAAGAAGCCCCCATAGCTCAGCAAAGACATCCAAGGATGCCTGAGGGCAAAAAAGGAGGCATACAAACAGTGAAAGCAAGGGGCTATCACCAAGAAGGATTATACCTCCGCTGCTCAGAGCTGCAGGGAGGCTGTTAGGAAGGCCAAGGCAGAGATAGAGCTAGGACTAGTGACCAGAATCAAGGATAATAAAAAGTCCTTCTTCAAATACATAGGAAGCAAGAAGGCGGTATTGGGTAATGTGGGGCCCCTACAGGACAGGCTTGGCAATCTGGTGATTGTGGCAAATGAAAAAGCTGACCTCTTTAACATAATCTTTGCCTCAATATTCCTGAACAGGGACCAGGACATCTCCCCCACTAGAACTGCAGATGGACCTAGGGGAGACACCACCATGCCTAGGGTCAGGGAAAACCTAGTTAAGGAACTTTTGGAGGGCCTGGACATGTTTAAATCAGTAGGTCCAGATGCTCTTCACCATGTGGCAGTCGAGTGGTAAGCTGGGCTGTGGCTAGTAGCCCCAAAACAGCAGGCGGGTACTTTTGACCGACGGAGCGGAATTAGGCACTGAAGC